AAAGTATTAAATTAGCATTGGTGTATCTTAAGTTTTTACCTCTACTTTCCTTACTAATATCATGAATACAATTCCAATAACAAAACTGTGACAGGAATTATTAAATGTCATTTATGTTTAAAAGAAACTCTTCAAATGATGATCTCAATTGTTCTCTTTTTTACTTTTCATGAGAAGGGATGACTTCCTTATGTTGATAGGATGTTCAAGACACTGATTTACTAAGATTTTTGAAAAATAGATTACTTTTATTTGCAGTTACCATAAAAACTGCATGCTTTGCCCAATTATTTGCATATCTATGTCATCTTTCTTCTCCATATTTATATTAATGATAAGTGCAACAAGAGGCCCAGGTATTTCAGCACTCTTTATTTTATATCCTTTAGAGGAAAACCCAGAACTCTTTTGCCACTTAGTATTTAAAGCATCTGAATGCTTCCTCATTTCTCTCACACTTTTCTAATGTAGAATTGTCTCTATGCGGCAGCAGTATTTCCAATAAGAAAAGACTCTGTAACTTTCAATGTGTATAGCTTGTCCCTTCCCTTGGTAGAATGTTTAGAAAAGGTAGTTTGGCTCAAAGTGTAATTAACCATGGAATCAAGTGTTAAATAGTGTCATACAATTTCTTGATATGATTCAGTTTTTTCTCCTTTAACAAATATCTTATTTTGCCATTTCAAATATGGATCACATATACAAAGTGATAGGAAAATACAAAATTTGATTTATTTTTGGAAATACAATTTTAATGGTTTTAATTTGCACTGATGAAACTGAAAATAGTTGAATTTAAAAACTAAAGTTTGTATTTTATTTATGTTATTTATAAATTCTATTAAAGCCAATGCTTAATCAACACAGTGACAGTTTTACAAGCCAAGTTTTTGCAAGGTCTTCTGTCCCAAAGAAAAATGTTTTAAATGTGGCACTGAAGATGTACCCATTGTTACATATTTTATTAGATCCAGATATATTTGTTGCCATTATCCTTGAAAATGATTGACTTTCCATTTAATTCAGTTTTACTTGCTCTTCAAATATCTCTTCTTCTTCTACCTTAAATAACCTCAGAATGTCTTCATAAAAATGCAGCCAACCATCTGAAAGTAATTTTTCTGCATTGTATATGGAGAGTTTGAAGGGTGTATGTGGCAAGTTTGTAGCTTAAATATTTCCACTACACTCATTTTCATCAAAATACTGGCTAAAATATTCAAAACAGATACACAGTTTTTCTCAGACTCTAGAGAAAGCTGTTTCATGAACATTAAAGGGTATGTCAGACTTACAAATAATTTCTCTGCAGTTTTTTAATTTTTTCAAACCTTGAGTAACTATGAGAAGATTTTTTTTCTCAAGTGCTATTTATTCTGAAATTTAAGGATTTTTAGCATGTTTTCAGAAAGTAGAAAGAGATACAACTGAAAAAGGCAGAAATTCAGTGGTGTTTCAGTAAACATCATGGGTAGATTAATATGAGAATGTTTCTAGGAAAGAAATCAGGAGGCAGTTCTAGTTCTGACATGATTCCCAAACAGTTCTGTAAGGCTCCATTACCAAAATGAAGATGATGGGTCAGGATTTCATACTGCCTTGGAAAGAAGAGAGGGAGGGAAAGGAAGGAAGGGGAAGGAATCTAGGAAAATAGAAAATGGATGTGGCTCATATCCTTTTTGGTCTAGTATATGAGGGAAGTCCCCTGTTTAATTTTCTAAACAGTTAATTATTGAGCAGTTACTGTGTTTAAGGAACTCTTCTGAGTGCTGGAGATACCACACTGAACAGCAGAGGAATGTCTCCTTGCTCATGAAACTTACATTTGAAAAGAAATAGAAGAAATCAAGGGACTAATTTAATACTTTTTTTTGCTATAATTGGCATGCTATTAAGATGATTTTTGAGAGAAAATGAGAACAAATAGAGAAACCTGACCTAGAATAAGAGGTCAAGGAGCATCCCCCTGAGGAAATGACATTTTTTGCTTAGATCTGCAAGATTTGTGTGAATTTAGGAAGAGAAGAGAAAGAACAAAGGAGCAGAGTCCTGGATGGAAGGAAATTGTTTAAAGGAGAGAGTAATCCTCTATGCCAAATGCTCCAGATAGAGGAGAAAAAGTCCAAGAATTTGGAGAAATATCTACTGAATTAGCAAAAACTTTGATGTTCTCTAAAAGTAAATTATAATTAGGGCTTTTTATCTCTGGATTTTTTTTCTAATTAAAAATAATTGCGTGGTACTGGGGATTGAACCCAAGGCCTTGGCACTAAGCAACATCCCCAGCCTTTCTTAGATATTTCACTTTGACACAGGGTCTTGCTAAGTAGCTAAATTGTTCAGGATGGGTAGATTTAAACTTGCCATTCTCCTGCCTCAGCCTCCTAGAGTACTGAAATTATAGGTGTATGCCACCATGCCCAGCAATTTCAATTTTGTTTTAGTAACATACCATATAAATTAACACACAATATAATTCTGTTTTTTTAAAAAAATTTACTCCCAGAAAATTTGTTACAGATCAAATGTAAAATTATTCCTGTAGATAATGATACAACCACACAAATCAAGAACTTCACTACAATCTTCAGTGACTTAACTCCATCAGAACCTCAAAAAATGACCACAACACTATAAATGCAATGTCTTCACAATCTATGTGTACAATGTTTCTTCTTGTTTTTGTATATACATATGTGGTTCTAAAGAACCAATCCATTCTTTTAAAAGTATTGAACTACTTTTTTAAAAATATACTGAAATGGAGTTTATTTTTAAACCACACTCTGAAAAAATAAGTATCTTGAAAATATTGGATTTATAAAATTAAAAATCTAGAGTATTGATGTTACAAGTAGAACAGACATGACAGAAAGACTTTTCCTCAAATCCTTACCCCACCCTTAGGAGGCAGACTATATTGACCTTAATTATCTCACTGAAATTTTGCCTCTGTGTAAAACAGCAGAGATATATTCCATGCGAATTTTGTAATCTTTTCTTTCTGTTTGTGGTTTGTTTTTGAAATTATCTCACTAAGTGGTCCAGGCTGGCCTCAAATTTGGGCTTTTTCTGTGTCAGCCTTCTGAATTGGTGAGATTATAAGTTTGAGCTACCATGCCTACCTCAAATTTTTAGAAACTTTTGTTTTCCTTTTTTTTTCCATTACTGGGGATTAAGCCTAGGGCCTTCACACTGATCTATATCCCCAGTCCTTTTTTATTTTTTATTTTGAGTTAGGAACTCACTGAGTCTCTAAGTTGCCCAGGCAGGGCTGAAATTTGTGATCATCCTGCCTCAGCCTCCCAGAGTTCAGGTATTACAGGTGTGCACCACCACACTGAACTAGTATTTTGAGTTCTTACATGATCAATTATAAAGGCAGTTGCTCACATTGAAAGGAAACCATTAAAAAAATACTACATTTTTCCTCATTAATAATTGATGTCTAGTTTATCCTCAGATTTTAATGGAGCTTACCAAGCACATTAAACTGTTTCAGTCTAGATAAGAAGCTATAAGGTTGGTATATTTTCCTTAAAAATAGAATTAGAAGTCTAACAAAATGTTTAAATTAGTTTTTGCCTGATATATAAAACATTAATCTTTTCTAAATACATGGCGTGATTACTATTATTGATGATGAAATTCAGCTGGGCACTAAGGAGAGACGAGAGGAAAGAAATTGACAGTGAAAAATGGTAAGGCCAGTGTTAAAGGTAGAATGATTGTTGGGTTTGGAATTCTGTGGAGCAAGCACTAGAAATACAGAAAGTGGTAGTTGGAAAGTGGGTTATTTTGAAGGATTGAAACATTTGCAGATGACAAGGTTAAGTATATGTGAAGAAGAAAACTTCATGCAACTAAGTTATCAGATATCAGATGGTGAAGTCCAGAAGTGCTCTTTCAGTACCTGAGTTTGAATCCTTGTACTGGGCACTTACCAGCTGTTTGCTTAGCCAACTAGAAACTGTTTCTTCATCTGGTAAAATGTTCTTAATGATAGCACATTTCTTTTACTTATGAGGATTAAATGATTTAATATTTATAAAATTCTTGAATAGTATATAGCATATGGTAAATGACTGTATTTGTACCATTATCATCACAGTAATCATTTTCATGAACCAGTTATGCATGAGTCTCTAGTTTTCATTCATTCTGAATTTATTAAATAACTCTCATGTCAGGTATCGTGCTGAGTACCCTTTTAAAACTTTTGAGTAATTTTCATTGGCTGTTTTGTGCTTCAGGAATTTAAGGTTGAACAGAAATAATACAATGCATCCTCACCAAAAAGTTATCTTTGAAGTCTTTGCCGTAAGTTTTCTTTGATCAAATGCTATTAGGAAAAATAGAAACCCAGAAGGAAATGAGACAGATCAAAGCAATGATTACTTAAATCTAGAAAGTAGATATGTTCATTGCATCAAAAAAGAGGCATGAGGGTAGACCCAGCTGTAGCCATGAATGAGAATCTAACCATATTGCTGAAGCATTATAGTGTCTAAAATTTGTGGTGATATGATTTAGGAAATAATAAAGATAACAAATTAGCCTGTGGTGTTCCAACATGAAACAGTGTGTTAATATCCTCATAGGTTAAACACAAGGGGTTACCATCTTAGAAGTTGGCTGTGAAGACAATTGGGCATTAGGTTATAAGACAGACCATTTACCAATAACAAAGTAAAATTGTGAAAATAATGATTTCTTTGTAAAGGACCATAATTCACAAAGTCTGGGACTCAAGATAGAAAACCTGGGCTGTTTATTATTTATAAAAAGTATTTCAAGTTTGCATTATCACCTGGCCAATTGCCACAGGCAGTTTCACCTTCTGGCTCAAAACACACATTTTTTTCATCCACACAAATGCCAACCATAATGTTGCATATGAGTGAGTGTGTTTTGTACACTGTAGCTAAAAATTCAGTGTAAGTTTGAGCACACATGGGGAAGAAAAACAATGTGATGTGAACTTTGTTCTCTGTGTTTAGGCAAGCTACGACCTATATCTATGCCAGTGGAATATAATTGGGTGGGGGACTATGAAGATCCAAATAAGATGAAGAGAGATAGTAGAAGAGGTAAGTGTTCTAGAATTTCAGTGTAGGCTGGGTTGATTGAACAATAAACAAATTTAAATGTTCTTTAAATAGATTATTATGGCTTCAGTAGGAAATGTATACTATCATTGACTTACTTTGCAACAAAACCAAGTCAAACCAATGTTTGACTATCTTGACCCATTATTAAATAGATATTGTTTATGAAATCCTTCTAGTGATCTAAGGTAGATAGTAAAATGTGAAAAATTGAATATCTGATTGTTATTTGAAAGTTAGTATTTGTAAACCAAGGTCAGAAGTGTGAAACTGCATAAAGGAATTAAGTTAGTGAATAAAAACCTAAAGTGCCTTATTATCTAAGGGAAAATTTAGTACCACCATTCATTCCCCATTGGTCCACAGTGCAACCTCTCACTTTTGTAGGAAATACAACCTTAAAATGAGCATTGAAGCACATAATTAAAAGAACAAAAAGGTAATGGAAACTGAGCCAGTGACTCTAATGAATGTCATATTGAATTGGGAAAAAATGCTTTGCTTTTTTTTCTGTCTGTTTGCTGTTCAGGATTATCTTCTTACATGGGGGCAGGATACTCTTTATGTATCTATCAAAAGTTTTATGTTCACTTATTGTGCTATGGAGGTGAGCAGTAAATTGATCAACTGAAAGTCTCACTACTAAATAAGGTTTACCAAGTATGGATGTATAGACCTAGTTGGTCATGCTGCCACCACTTCCATTTTCTGAAGTAATCATAAGATTATAGATGGAAAACAAAATGAAACAAAAACTATTCATAGAACCTAAGCTCACTAAGCTTCTTACATTGTATATTTAACCTGTTTGCATATGTACATGATGTATTTTATTACTGCACAAATCTATAAACCACATGGTCAAAAAAGCATGAATCTCTGCTTCTTTAATTTTTTTAACACTTGTTTTATTGCTTGAACATTTCTGAAAATGTTGACGAGTCCATTACATGCTCCAAGCTTCAGTTTCTAAACTCATTTGTTTTACGGAATATAAATAATTCAACAAAAAATAAAAGAAAAATGCTTGTCATATGCCATCTCTGAGTCACTCTTTTGGAACTTGATATTGTACAGATATCTGTTGGGAGTGCTTTATGAAGTATTAAGTGCTTATAATTCATTCAAGCATAGATTTTATAAGCTAAATTTCCTGACTATTGGTTCATAATGTGAGCTTTAACTTCAAGGATCCTACCTAGCATACCATAGGCCAGTGTTTGTTATCAAGCTTTAGAAGAATCCTCCTGGGCTGCTTGTTACAAATTTAAGAGCCAGACACCAGAACTTCTGATTCATATTCCATGGATGATTCTGATATAGCTAGTCCAAAGATAAAACCAGAAGAAATAATCTGTTGGCTATTTCTTATTGTTCTATGATTCCCAAATAATTAACACAACATACTTCACTATATACAGATTAAATTAAATCAAATTAAAGTTCTGAAACAAAAACTTATACCACTGTTATGAAAGAATGACAAATTTAAGGTTTTTCTATATTGACATTGGTGTAATTATCTTTTTTATATAGAAAACTCGCTACTTCGATATATGAGTAATGAAAAAATTGCTCAAGAAGAATACATGTTTCAGAGAAACAGCAAAAAAGATACAGGAAAGAAGTCCAAAAAGAAGGGTGATAAGAGTAATAGCCCAACTCACTATTCATTGCTACCTAGTCTGCAAATGGATGCATTGAGACAAGATATCATGGGCACACCTGTGCCAGAGGCCACACTATACCATGTAAGTAAAAATGTTTAAAATTCTTTGATATAGCTTTTACTGGAAGACAAATGACTCTCAGGTAAATTCCAGATTTCTTTAATCCAGATTTTCATGAAATATAACTTTAGAGTATGTACCCTTAAAAATTATTAATTATTGATTTGTCATTCAGTTCATATGTTCAGTAAGTTCATATGTTCTAGAAAGTTGCATTAATGAGATACCATGCATAAAACGATGGAGCTATAAATAACAGACTAATGATCCATGTGCTAATATGCAGTGCATGGTTAGCTATAAATTCAGTATTAAAGATAGAATGTATAATATATTCATGCTTCCATTTAAAAATGAGCACCTGCTATGTGCTATGGATTGCGGTATTAGAAGTGAAAATGGGAGGACAAACATACCATTATATGGGGAGAATGATAAGCTGAGAATCCCCCTATAAATTAATTCTTATAATAGGTGAGTACAGAACATATAGAGATGACATTGGAAAAGGAGGACCTTACCCTCAGGGGAAATGAGAACAGACTTGATAATGGGGACAATTTGAGGAAAGTGAAAGATGAGTAGCAGTACTTTACTAGGAAGATATATGGAGGTGTGCTACAGCTGCATGTTCCAGGGACTTCATGTGGCTTGGTATTGCTGGTTCATTAAAAATTGAGGGGCCGGAAATTTAGCTCAGTGGTTCTGCCGCCTGCCTCGCAAGCGCAAGGACCTGAGTTCAATCCCCAGTACCCCCCCGTAAAAAAATGAGGAAAATTGTGTGGGGAAAGGACAGTAGACATAGGAAAGCTAGAGGCATAGGCAGAAAATTTTGTGATAAAATATTTAAGACTTTTTCCTATAATAACAAAGAATTATTGAAGAATTTGAGCTAGGGACTTGGATGATCAGATTTGCCAGTGGGATCTCTCTAATGCAGAGAGAATCAACCAAAAGGTCAAAGGCAGAGCCATTAAGTCCAGCCCAGAAAGAGCATGACAAACTAGGACAATGGCCATGTGGAAGCTGAGAATATTGTTAGCCAGAACATTCACTTCAAAAATCAACACATATTAGGCTGTTTTGGTTAAAGGAAGTTTGTTGTACCAATAAAATTGTAGCTTCTACTTAGAAGCTTGGAAAATATGAAAATTTAAGTGGTAGTTTTAAAAACTGTATTTAATGCTCAAAGTATCAAAAAAATTCATCTACCACTATCTTGAAGGTGTGCCATTCAGGTATACAGGATGTGAAAGATTTAATAACTTCAGTTGTTTCTCTGAGAAATGTCTTAAATCTGCTTATTTGTTGTCTACCTCTGTCAAAAAACTAGAGTACAGTTGTTTTCTTTGTTTGGGTTGGAGTGTTGTTCTTCGCTCCCTCCTGCCTATTCTCCCATAACATGCTTCCAAGCCTCTTCCTCTCTAAGAGACAAATGCCCGTATCAAAACCTGCTCCATTAAATAACCAACAAAATAAATTGTTATTTTTTCCACTGACAATTGAAGTGAATCTGAAGTCAGTACTCTTCAACTCATGTGAAGAGAGCCATTTTTGTTGTCATCACTAGTCAGAAAGGCCATCTGAACACTGATTATCCTTCAGAACCTGGGGCATTCCATTCATAAGCAATAGAAAGCAATAGTCTGAACAAAGTCTAAAAATGAGAGAAAGCTGGCTTATTCAAGAGGGAAGTTAGTAGTGAAAGATGAGGCTCAAGAGACTAATGGAATTCAAATTATATCATCTATTAAAGAATTTGGATTTCTCTTAAGAGTTGTGAGCCATTAAAGGCACATTGAAATATGTAGGCTGTTTCATTCTGTGTCATGCGTATTCGAACAGGTATATGAAGTACTGTGTGGGAAAGGAAAATGGAGAGATGAGTCTCACAGATATGGATTATTAAATTAAGAAAGACTAGAAAAGGTGAGGTGACCTGATAATCAAAAATATTATGAGTATTGCCTAGGACAATGCACCTTTCCAAGAGTATTATTTAGAAAGTGTATCAATAACCTGGTCTAGTAATTTTACTTCCAGAAGTTTATTTTAATAAATCAGAGAGTTCACTTTTGCCTCCTACTTATATTAGGTGTCCAGAGCCTGTAACATGGTATTTCTCAGGTAGATACCTTTCCCAGCTAATTTGTGATGGGGTGGGGGTGGTCAACAACAAATAAGGAATACTATTAACTTGAGAGGGATAATCTCCCTTGTAACAGTGATCCACCAATTCCAGGGTAGAAGGCAGGTACTTCCTCTGTTATCAAGTTTAGAAGAAGCAAAATAACTATTAGCCCCCAAATACATACTAGATGGTTATAACCGTTGTTCAGAAAGAGAGGACTTTCATTGGAGTTTTATGGGACTCTTTTATGTTCCCTTGGGGACTTCGACCTGTCACATTGTCACATATTTAGTACTTTCATGATCATAAAGGGAGTTTGAACATTTGTTATGTCTTTTGAACCCTACAAAACCCCTCCTATTTTCGAATAAAAAAGCTTAAACTATGCTGAAAGGTTAAATGACTTACCCAAAGTTGTGTTGTGAAAAAGTATAAGGTTCAGAACCAAAATCACCCATTCCAGTTCCTTCTACACTCCACCCTGGTGCTTTGGGCATGGTAGGCATTCCATATACAGAGAATTGTTTACTTTTAATGAGTTAATTTTGAAAAAAACTTGATGTGCCCTCATACATTATTGTTAATAGCATTTGAAGTATCTAGATTGACTTATGCCCAGATTTTTCTTTTGCTATGTATTACTATTTTTTAAATTAGGCCAAACATACAGAGCTGTTGCTGTTACAGAACACATGTTAGTTATTCAACATGATCTGTTGCTTGAACTACATAATACTATAATTAAATTGCTAGGGCCTTGAAGGCAAAACATATACTTAAATAATATATTTTTTATACTTTATAGGAAATGTTGGTTTTTATCTATTTATATAACTTATTTAAAAATGAAAGTGTTTTCTCTTATATTTTCCTGAAAATACACAATTATTATCAATTATAATCCAGTCAATTTTATTATGAACTACTAATCCTACTTTTAGTAATTTTATTTTGGATAACTCGGTCATTTTTAATAGAATAGAATTTATGTGGAAAAAGATTATGAAGATTGAGTATTGGATTTATAGATTGCTATCTCTACCTTAATACTAGCTCTATGGAGTCTAAGAATTCTGAGTTCCAATATAGAGAAAATTTATTATAAATTTCTTGGCAGCAACATATCAGCCTTAGATATTCTTAAAACAACTTCTGAGGTGTGTATGTGTACGCTTACATGCACACGCCCATGCAGTATTCTTATATAATTCCTACGGGTCTGTTTTGGAAAGAAATCTAGTGAAAAGAAAATGCAAAGCAAATACTATTGAGCTTCAGTGTTCGACTTATTTTTCTTATCAATTATTACAGATTGTTTAATGATAATAAAGATTTAGAGTATATGGTATTATAAAAAATAAATTTTAAAAATTAATTAAACATATTTGTTATTCTAGTTGTTTTTCCTAAATTTATTTAACAGAAAAACATTCACTGTGCTTTAGCCATCATGACTATACATCAATCCTTGGCCACTTCTTCCCCTTTTGAGATGTTATTCTCTCTGTAGAGAATGCTTTCACACATTCTTTCCCCTGGCTGTCTAACTCTAAAATCCCAGGGGGGCTTTCCCGATCAGCCCCCTCTGAATTAAATCACTTCCTCCTATTATGTTCTCTTAGCACCCAGTGCTTCTTTAAAACCTCTGTTGTGATTTGTAATTATATATGTATTTGTGTGAATATCACCATGGTGATATCACCGTGGTGTTTCTCTCTCATGTACATGGCAAGTCAGGCATATCCATATACATAAGAGGCAGGGACAGTTGTCTCCATTTTGTTAAGCACTATATTTCAGCACCTAGTATAAGTACAGTGTCTGATAAGCTCTCAATAAAAATGTAATGAATAAATCAATAAGTACATATGAATAGGAACTTTTAGTGCTTTTCTCACTGTCTTCCACCTGCGAAGAGAGCTTTTCTAAATATCCTAGGCCATCCTCACAAGGGCCAGCAATATAAGAAGTTTAGCTCATACTCCTTCATTCCAGCTCAGAGCTTCAGTTCCAGCTAGTTCTTGCTTGCTTCCTTCCAGGTCTCACTACAGAGGCCCTAATATGCCCAGCAGCCAAACATGATATAACATTTTTCAAAAACTCAAATTTTTTATTTTACCACTCAGATTTTCTTCTGAAAATATGAAAGTTGTTAGCTGCCAAAGCCTTCATATGACCCGAGATCACAAGTATAAAAGGCAGAAAGCAGTGTATGTATGTGTGAAATTAGAATGTATTGAAAAAATATTTATAAAGAATAAATTGTTCTGAATCTCATCTTTAAATCTTATAGGACTTTTTTGGTTAATAAGATATGTAAATAACAACTTGCTCTCATTGAGGCTACTAAACTAAATTCATATTTAAAGTAATCGTTTATTTTAAATCTGTATGCTGAGATGCTAGAACAAGTAAAATTTGATTATGGATCCAGACAGTATGCAGGTATACTTTCATTAAATAATGTGGTTTTAGGTGGCTTATAAGAACAGAGTTTGAGTAGATATTCAAAAATCTATATAATTCTTTTCATAGCACTCAACGTGTAGCTAGTCTTAGGTTTTTTAGGGTGTAATTTCAAAACATTTAGTTGTCATTTTATTTCTAATAAGCAATTTTAGCTATTCTAGTCAATTTGTGCGGGTGTTTTTAATGGAAGGAGGAGAACAACGGAGAGATATCAGAGGGAATATCTATTTTGTTTATTTAACAAATAAATACGAAACACACCATTCTAAGCACTTTGAAAATACTAACTCGTTTAATCCTTATAACAACCCTATTAGAAAGGTTCTGATTTTATCACCATGTTACAGATTAGGAAGCTGAGACATGTGGATTGTTACATAACGGAGCTGAGATTTGGGCATTGGTAGTCTAGCTGTTTAGA